TTTCCACAAAATAAGTTTCCTCTCTTTATTCCAAGGATTTTATTTTTAGATGGTTCTTCATAATCCCTTTGGAGAGAGAATATGTGCTTCTACATTTAAATAATCAGAACTGTACTGTGTCTAATAGCCTTGCAATTCTTGATTTTTGGCTCCAGGGATTGTACCATCTAGAGGGAACTCACAATACAGAAGCAAAACTGTCTGGATGATGATACTGGGGCATAAAGAGTCTAAATACTTCATCCAAGGCCACAAAACTAAGCAACAGAGCTGGGGCTGGAGCTCAGGGGTTTTGATATCAGAGATCATGTTGTTGACCATAGGTTTTTAAATCATATTTTTGAAGGAGACTATACATAACTGATCAAGGTAATTCTTTTATAAAGTTTGTTTTATTAGATAATTAGTCCACTCCTCACTCCCATTCTGGGTTAGGTATGCCTGTGTGCACTGCAGAATCAAAGATGAAACTCAGAGCCTCGTGGAAGAGACAGGTGAGACCGATGTCCCTCGACATGCCTGCTGAGCAGCGCGTCCTACACCGGGAGGGATGTCACACACTGTCAGGTACGTGGAGAGGGAGCAGAAGCCGCTAACCCAGCCGGGAGAGGTCCCCAAGGTCTCCTGGGCTGGCGTTACCTGGGGTGGGTATTCCAGGTAGGTGGGGACCGTGCTGCAGAGACGTCACAGTGCATAGAATGCCGCGGCAAACAGTCAGGTGGAGATGGGGCAGGGAGGGAGGGCAGGGCTCAGACCTCACAGGTCCTTCTGACAATGATGACGAGTTGGGTGTTCATCCCGTGAGGGAATGGTTATACCTAAAATAGTTTCTATGACAGGTGGAAATGGATTCGAAGGTGAGTGAGTCAAAATAAGCCAGTTTATGCTGTGGTAACAGACAAATCTCTACTGTCAGGGACTTCTTGCAGTAAGGGATAGTTTCTTAAAAATATCCAAAGACTGAAGCTGCCAGGGTGACCTTATCCACAGCAGCTGTGCGTCTGGGACCTGTTCCCTCACGGTCACTGCAGAGTAGAGAGTGGAAGGCGCTGCAGGCGGGGGCTGGGAAGTGACCCCCATCTCTTCCTCCCAGGTCTCATCGCCCAAAACCTGCCGCATGTCCCAGGGCAACACAGTCCACTGCGAATGGACGCCCCTTCATGTCTCATTTCCGAAGGGCCAAGCACACCTAGAGATTCTCTAGTGTCATCTGAGGTAAACCATGTCTATTCTTTGTCAGTCAGCAGGTCCTGTTTTGAACCCGTACTGGGCACCAGGAGAAGTAGGGCTATAACTGCGGCTTGGGGCAGCCTATTCATGCCACTGTGCTGTGGGCCGGGAGAGAGCCCTCCGTCAAGACGGGCAGTGAGTAGGGTGTGCAGGGCACAGGAGCCCGGTCACAGAGACTCGGGGGCTGTGTCTGACATGAACGCTAGGCATGTGGATCATCCCTTGAGAGCTAGACTGGAAGGCTGGTTCTGGCTGCTCTGCCGGGGACAGACCTCAGGGCTGGGGCAAAAGCATGGGGAGCCAGGAGGAAGAGGCTTCGTGACTCCCGTGAGCAGCGGGGAGAAGCACCAAGCTAGCAACACCCTGGACACGGCGTGCATCTGAAGTTAAGATGCTAATTTTGTGGCAAAACCATCAGAATTTGGAGGCAGGTCAGATGTGTGACATGAAACACACGATCATGAGCTGGCGGGAGAAGGGAGTGGCTGTCAGTGGAGGGGAACGGCTCTTGGTCACGAGACTACTCCTACACGAACGCAGAGGGGATCTGCGGAGCAGTGGTCCCCCGTCACTCAGACCCTGAGGTGTCTCTTCTGGGGTTGCAAATGATAACTGTGCCGATGGAAGGGTCTCTTAGAAACAGAGCTCAGCTCCAAGCATTTCTCCACTAACCAGACTTCACTTCTACCTACCTAACAAGAAAACTACTCAGTAGCAAATACTATAAATATGTATTTGTGAAAGCAAGCTAGAAAATATTAATCTACGTTTAATTTATGTGGATATGTTGCAATTTATTTACATTTTATTACACATGACATACATGGTAAAGGCATGTTTGATTTATAGGAAATGCCTACAAGGCCTTCTGGTAGAGATAAATTGCTTAGAGCTGGGGATATAGCTCAGTGGCACAGCACCTGCCTGGCAAGCACAAGATCCTGAGTTCAATTCCCGATGCACACACACACACACAAAGAAATAAACTGCTTAACTGGTTTACCCTTATGATTATGTTTGCTTTGGCAGTTTGCTTCCTTCCCTGGCTGTGAACTAATAGGCCAGGGTGGTGGAGATTCTCTCCCGGCCAGCTCTGCTCAGACTCCCCTAAGCCCTCTGTGTAATGGGACCTCGGCTTTGAGGCATCTGCCTTAGTCTCTATATTGCCCAGTTTTAACAAAACTCTGGCTTTGTCCATGTAGCCCAGATCTCCCTTCCCTGATGTTTCAGTCACATTCTGATACTGGATGGAGTTTCCCCCCTCTCGCCTGGGTAGATCTGCTCAGCCTGGGCTGCCTTCAGCAAAAACCTTATCACATGAGCTTAGCCAGAGTCCCTGACCCTTGAGGTGCCCTTCAAGTAATTACCTTCCAGTGACCCCTGCCCCTCATGTACCACCGCAGCCTTTCACTATATATAGTAAGTTTGGATTTTACCCTTTAGGTAAAATAAGAACAAGGATGTTAAAAATGTAGAATGCTTCTTCAGGGAGGAAGAGAGAAGAAAGACAATGGGAAGCCATAACAAAGCAAGCCAGTGGCAAAGCGCCGGCCACTTTCATGCCCAGGAGCCCCGAGAATCAGGCTCCTAGACTGGGAGCCATGAGCACAGTTGATAAATATTATGATAAGTTTGTGGTTATATTTTGTTTTCCTTACACAATCCCAACTTCCAGCATTCATTTTTTTCTCTCCTGTCATGCAAAGAAATCAGTGGTCCCAGAAGGGGGTAACGGCCCATGACCTGCACCTTCAGTGCTGTGTGGGAAAGCACTGCTGTTTTAACCCAAAGTCTGTCTCTAGAATTTGCCTTGCCCAGGTGACCAGAGGCTTCCATGGGCGATACACAGTCATGCGTGTGTAGGGGGTGAAGGGGAGCGGGCAGTGGCCGGTTTGCAGAGTCAACCCCAAACACCACTTTTCCAGAAGCAGTAGCAGTACGTATACCAGAGAGCGCATTAAAAACTCCAGTGCGTAAAAAGAGGCATGCTAGGAAGCAAAAAGTAGCATATGAACACCACATAACCTGCAAAGGATAAGATCTGGGACTTACTTTAGAATTTTCTGCAAATTAAGTAAAATTCAAGCAGTCCCAGAGAATAAAATCAGCAAAGTATTAACAGGTAATTTTATACTCAGTGGAGTACTAATCTTCCAAAAAGAAGGATAAACTTGAATCATTTGTCGGAAAATAGATGCACCTCGAGATCATCATGTTAAGTGAAATAAACAAATCAGACACACAAGTTTAAATATCTCATGGCTTCTCTGATATGAGAAACCCAAAATACAAATAAACAGCAAAATAAAAGAATGGGAAGTAGGGAGACAGAGTTTTTGGGAAAAGGAAGGAGACCAAGAAACGGAGGGGGGGAAGGAGGGAGGGGATGGAAAAGATCTGAGGTATGTTCTGTGCATGGACCAATGCCTTACAAAAAATGTAATCATGATATGTCTTGGTTACTTTTTTCTCCTTGCTGAGACAAAATACCAAATGCTCAAAATTAAGGAAGGAAAGGTTTATTTAGCTCACAGTTTGTGGAGGTTTCAGTCTGTAATCAGCTGGCTCCAAGGCAAGGTGGCCAGGCACAGGGGCAGCTGTTCAAGGAAGCAGAAGACAGAAAAAGCAGCAAGAGCAAAAGTGGGGAGAAGCAAGCCTCTTTTCCCTCCTTACATTGTGTGCTGGCTACCCACCCAGGCCCACACCATCTCCATGCCCTCCTCTGCCACAAGCTGAGGATGTTCATAAAGTAAGGGACCTGGCCCCCTGCTGAATCACTTTAAAGTTTAAAGTTGAACTTTTAAACTTCTCAAGTTGACACAATGAACAACATCCTAGAGCAGGCAGGGCAGGTCCTTTCCACCCCAGGATGTAGAACTGCTGAGTCACTTAGTTAAACCTCTAGACTCCTCAAGTTGACACAATGTATCAATCATCACAATAGACTACAAACACAAACTGATAAAACTAAAAATTAAAAAGAAGAAAAACATATGACTTAATTTCTTCAAAAGCTAAAGAAAAAAACCACAGATAATTCACAGAAAGTAAGAATTAGTTCACTAGGCGTGTCTTGAAGGGTGTTCAACTCTCTGATAGAACAGCCCCACTTATCTCTGCAAAAGAGAGGGGTGACATGAGCAAAACGTGCACAGTGAGATGCCGCTCTAACACTGAGATCCTTTGAACAGTACCGAGAGGACAAATATTACTAAATGCAGACATTTGGCTCTCTAGGTGGGAAGCATATGTACAACTGATAACTCTGCGTTTTTTCTGTATTTTTGAAATATGTCTTGATAAAAATGTACATTATAATAATTTAACCATCTTGTTCCATAAAAATGTATCCTTCTGTCTCTTCCATGAGGTAAAATGTACGGGGAGCATTGAGTTTAGGGAACAATGCAGAAACAGGAGCAGCTGTCCTTTCATCTGGTCCCAAATCTGCCACTCCCCCGTGGTGTGACCTGGGAAAATCCCTCACTGCTCACAAAGCTGATTCCTGACACAAAAACCCTGCACAGTAATATCCGACTTCACCGCCTGATGTTAAAGTGAGGAATGAAAATGACTGCATAAGGTTGAACTGAGTAAGTTCACATATATGAAAAGGATGCTCAAATGTGAGGAAATAACATGAAAATTCTCAAGCCTGTAGCTAATGTGAAGTAAATGAGCATAGTTTCCCACTTAGTGTCATTGTGAATTTATGGAAACAAACATTAGGAATGAAAAAGCAGAGGTCAGAAAACACACAGTTTTCTTACCGGGTCTATGAGCTGGAAATAGAGTTCGTGGCAGTTGTCAAAAATGTACTTGTAAGTGGAGTCCAGGCAGGCACGGACGCAGTCCTTCACCACTGTGCTGGCCCGCGGCGGGCTCTGCAGCTCCAGGACCTGCAGACAGATTGGACCCCTCAGCATGGGCAAGACTGCAGCCTCATCGAAATCTCAAACAGCATCTAATGATGCTTTCAGTTCATTTGTCTATGTGAAGGAAGCATTTATACACGGCCAATGTATAAGCAGTTATCCTAACTTTCTGATGTAACATTTTCTCGGAAATGTTCTTGGCTGTGAACATTCAAATAGAAGCACCAGAAGGGATAGCAACGACATAGTCCATTCATGTGATGCCATTCACTCATTCGATGAATATTTTCCACTGTGTGTCAGGTAACGGTGCTATTTGGTAAACAAAATAAAGAAAAATTCTTTTTATCTCAGGTTTAAATTTCGGCAGGTAGTGAGTAAGACAAGTGATTAAATATATTATGTGATGGTGCGTGTTGACCTGAGGCAGGAATGTTTCAGGGAAGCAGGAGAGGTCCAGGGGCCAGTGAAAGCAGAGGGAGTCTGAGGAGAAATAAGAGGAGAATGGAGATTGGGAAGCTCACCCAGACCCTCTGGAGGACCTTGGTTCTGATCCAGATGGGAAAGAGTTGGACATTGTGCAGAAGAGCAAAGTACCAGACTTTTTATCTTTTAGAAAACACCCCTTCTCTCTTCTCCACCAGCATGGCCTCACACACAGCGTGTAAGGGAGGCCTATACTGGGAAGGAAGGGAGAAGAAAGTGACTATCATCAAGAAAACATGCGAAGTGTAAAACTCACTAGAAGATGAATACACAAAGAGGAAAGAGAAAACAACCCTACGGATACAGAAATACTACTCCAACACAAGAACAAGACAAGAATGAAAGAACAAAGGATAATCAAGGTAAACAGAAGAAAAGTAGTAAAAATATAGTAGTCATCCTTATACATCAATACAAACACCGAATATAAGTGAATGAAGCTGTCTGATTAAGATACAAACTTGTTGAATGGATAAAACAACAAGATCCATAACTTGCTGCCTACAAAAACTTGCTTCATCAATAAAGGCACACAGAAATGGAAAGCAAAGGCAGATAGAAACTGGACATTAGACCAGTTAAACAAATAATGGGCCATTAAAGAATGAAAAAGAAAATTGAAAATTTCTTGAAACATACCAAAACTTTATGGGATGAAACAAAAGTACTAAGAGTGAAAGTTATGGCAGTAAACACCTACATTAAACCCGGACCCAAAATTAGTAGAAGCATAGATAACAAAGATCAGAATAGAAATAAAAAATAGAAACTAAAACATATCTAAAGGATCAATGAAATAAAGAGTTGGTTTTCTGAAAACATAACCAAAATAGACAAATCTTTACTCAGTCTAACCAAGGTAAAGAAGAAAACTGACCTCCCAAACCAAAATTTAGAGATGAAAAATGAGACATTACAACTGATACAACAGTAACATAAAGAATCTTTGAGACTATTGTGAACAGCATTAAGCCAACAAACTGGAAAACCTAGAAGAAATGGCTACATTTCCAGACAAATCACCATCAAAATTAAACCACAAAGACATAGGAAAGCTGAAGAGACTAATAACTAGCAACCATATTTAATCAGTAATGAAAATTCTCCCAGTAAAGAAAAGCTTAGGACCAAGTGGATTCATTGCTGAAATCTACCAAACTGTGGATGAGTGGACACCAATTCATTATAAACTATTCCAAGAAACTGAAAGGGAGGAAATGCACCTAACTCATCTGACCAGGCCAGCACTGCCCTGACACCAAAGCTAGACTAGGGTACAGCAGAAATCACAACTGTAGATCAGCTCCCAACTTCCCCTCCCCTCCAGCACCTCCCCTCCCCTGTACTCCCCTCCCATTCAGTACTGGGGACTGAAACCAAGGGCCTTTGTGCTAAGCCTCATCCCCAGCACTTTGTGACACAGGGTCTTGCCAAGTTCCCCAAGCTGGGCTTGAACTTCCAGAGTGCTGGAATTATATCTGTCTACCACCATGCTTAGCCATTTTTGTTGAGATCTGGAAGAAGGTAAGGATGTCCGTTTTCATTATTCTTATTTAACCTAGTGCTGGGATTCCAGCTAGAGAAATTAAGCAAAAAAAAAATAAATGGAGGGCATATGACTGGGAAGGGCAGAGGTCACGTTTTCCTGTTTGCAGTAACGTGACTAAGAAAACCCAAAGACTCTACCAAAAGACTACTAGAACTGATAAATGAATTCTGCAAAATAGTAAGAACAAATAAAAACACAACCATCCATAGCTCTTCTATACATCTGAGAAAGAAATTACAAAAGCAATTCCACTCACAGTAGGTACAGAAAAACAAAATACTTAGTAATGAACTTAACCAAGGGAGTGAAAGACCTCTACAATGACAACTACAAAACACTGACAAAAGAACACAAACATAGAAAGACTTTTCATGTTCATGGACTGGAAGAATGTATATAAAAGTTTATATACTGCTAAGTGCCATTTACAGATGCAACTCCATTCTTATCAAAATACCAATATCAGTCTTCACAGAACTCAGATAAACAACCCTAAAACCAGGGTATAAGCACACAAGACTTGGAATAGCCAAATAAATCTTGCGCAAAAAACCAAAGCTTTAGGCATCACAATATCTGAGTTCAAGACTTCCTACGGAGTGATCATCACCAAGGCAGTATGGCATTGGTATCAAAACCAGTGCCACAGGACAGAAGTGCCAGATGTGAACCCACACACCTCGGGCCAACTGATTTCAGCTAAGATGTCCAAAACACACATCCAATGAATGATGCTGGAGACACAGGATTGCACAGGCAGGACAGGAAAATTTGATCCCTGTGTCTCACTTCCTACAAGAACCAATTCAACACAGATCAAAGGCTTACATATAAGACCGGAAACTACGCAGAGAGGCAGTAAGACATGTGCATAGGCAATGATTTTTTGGATAAGATCATAAAAGCAAAAATTGACAATAAGATGCTATCAGCTGAAGAATTTTCTGCACAGCCAAAGGAGTAATGAACAGAATAAAGTGACAGCTACAGAATGGAATAAAATTTATCCAACAGAAGATTAATATCCAAGGAAGTTCAGAAGTTTGACAAAAAGCCAAAAAAAAATCAAATTAAAATGGGAAAATCATCTGGGTACTTCTCAAAAAAAGCACACATGGCCAAATATGTGAAAAAATAGTCAACATTGCTAGCCATCAAGAAAATGTAAATCAAAACGACATGAAATAACACCTCAGGGGTCAGAAAATTATCAAAAAGGGAAAAATGACATAAATACTGGGGAGGAGGCAGAGCAAAAGGCACTCTTAGGCACTGTTGAGGGGAATGTGTTTAGGAAGAGTGGTGTGGAGTCCACATAGAAAAACAAAAATCGATCTACTACAGAACCCAGCCATTCCCCTTCAGGGCATTTAAGGAAATAAATTCAGAATATCGCAGAGACTTTTATGTTTAGGGGGTAGCGGAGTCACTCAGAGTATCAAGTGGGACGAACGGACACACAGTGTGTGATTTATGTCACAGCGGAACACTGTTCAGACAGAGAGAGGGAGGGGCAGAGACAGGAGGGCCAAGGAGGGAGGGAGGAGGAGAGGGAGAGGATATCTTGATATTTGTGGCAAAGCAGACATAACTGGAAGACATTATGTTAAGTGAGATAAACCAGGTAGAAAAATGCAAATACTACCTGTTCTTTCTCATATGTGAAGCTAAAAAGCCAATCGTGTAGTACAATTGAGTACTGCAGTCTGAGAGGGGAGGGCTGGGGGACAGGAGGTGGGTGGATAGAAGGTCCTAACACATAGCCTTAAAGACGGAATAAGATCCGGTGTTCTACGGCACAGACACAACTGCAGTTCACTATGATCTGCTGCATGCTGAATGAACTATGAGAAGGAAGGAATTCAAGGCTCCAAAGATAAAGCACTGATTCAGAGACAGAAGTGCAAACCCCTGATTTGATCAGCTCACACTGTGTCAATATACTGAGTTTCATAAGTGTGCACAAGTTCTTGCTAATTAAAATTTTTAAAAAAGAATTAAAAAGTTCCCTGTGCTGCCTAAAGGTGAACTGTGGAAAAAGGAGAAAGATCAGTTGTGAGACTAGGGAAAAACTCATCAAGAGAAGGGGAGACATGGACCAAAGTGGCAGGACCGAAAATTGTTAGAAGTATGCCGAGTCTGGGGGGGGGTATGGTAGGAAAAACTCGCGGGATTTGCTGGCCATTTGGAAGACTGGTACGGGAAGAAGAAAGCATTTCGGTCATCTGGCAACTTGGCCAATGCTGCTGGCCTCTGACTTGAAGGGGAGCCTGCTCCTGGGAGGTCAGGGCTCAGTTAGGACAGTGTAAAACGGGGACTCCAGTGGGCAAAAGGTCACTTCCAAGTTGCTATTTGACCAAGCGAATCTGTGGTAATGGAGATGCCTTGGTTTAAGGTATAAGTTGGGAAATGATAAACTAAAGGGGATTTAAGAGAACGCCAGGTGAGTATGGATGGAGAGGAGAAGAGCAAAGAGGTCCAGGAAGAAAACGCCATGCAGTTCTCCCGCTGTGACAGCAGGCAAATGAGAGGACACAAGGGGAAAGCCCTCAAAGGAACAATGGGACAGGGGGAAATCAGACAGGGGGATGTCCAGGAAGTCTAGGGAGGAACGTGGTTCCGGAGGAAGGAGCACGGAATGTTCTAAATTCTGCAGGATATTGTAAGGGGGCATCCAGAGCTGCCCATCACAGATGACCTTCTCGGAAGTATTTCTGGGGAAGGGATGGCATAAAAGTCTGATTGCAGTGGGTTCAAAAATAAAGGCGGGTATGAAGATTTAATACTGCTAAAATGCCTATTCTCTCCAGATTGACTTGGAGATGTTGTGTGGTCTCAATCAAAACCTGGGCAAGAACTAAAATCACCTAAACAATGATGAAAAATGAGAAGAAAAGGAGAATGCACACATTGTGATTTTAAGATTTGCTATAAAGCTACAGTAATCACGACAGCCTGGTAGTAGTAGAAGTACAGAAAACTGGACAGTGTAGAGAGCTCATAAATAGATACAAAACACAGTTAATTGATTTTTACAATAATACAAAAGCAGCTCAATGAAGAAAGGAAAATCATTTCAATAGATGGCACTAGAACCATTATACATAAACATGCAAAAATTATCCTTGATTCCTATTTCACGTCTTATTAAAAAAACACTAAAATCCTAAGTGGAGCATTGACCTAAACATAAAAGGTAAAATAAGCTGGCCGTGGTGGCCTGCACCTGTAGTTCCCGAACTCTGGTAGGTTGAGGGAGAAGAATTATAAATTCGAGCTCATCCTGGGCACCTTAACAGCTTAGAGAGACCCTGTCTTAAAATTAAAAAAAAAAAGACCATGAATGTAGCTTAGTGCATAGGCCCTGAGGTCTATTCCCAGTACAAACAAACAATGAATGGAAAAAATAGAGCTTTAGGACAAACAGAAAAACTGATTTTGGTTTTGCTAAAAGTATTACCCATAAATGAAAAAGACTGATAGATAACAAATTATGTCCAAGGTCCTCTGGGAATGGGAAGACAAAGCCCAGACAGGAACAGAATATTGGCAAATCAAGTATCTGACAAAAGACCTGTGTTCACAAAACCTGAAGTACTCCCAAGGAGTACTCTCAAGGACATTGTATTCTCAGACAGTGTTAGATTGTAACTGTTCTCACCAGGAATGGGAACTCTGTGAGGTAAGGAATATACTGAATTAGTGAGGTTTAGTCCTTCCCAATGTGTATACATTTCAAAACATCATGTACTTAATAAATACATAAGATTTCATTTTCAAATCAAAAAAATTGAAAACTCAACAATATGAAAAAATTTCCATAGATTCTTTGTGAGAGGAAATATTCAGATAGAAAGTCAGTTCAAGTAAAGGTGCACAAAATTGTTAATTTTAGAGAAAAAAATTAAGGCTGGGGTAAGATACAAGTTCAGTCCTACTAGGAAGGAAGAGAGAAAAGGAGGGAGCTTTTGAGGGCACGAGGGAGGCGGGAGGAGAGGACAGGGAGTGCACAGTCCTTGCCCTGTGGAGGCACCTGGCGTGGGGAAGGGACTGTCCAGGAGGGTGGACACACAGGACAGGAGCAACGTGGGGTGGTGCGGGGTGTGTGGGTTGGATCCTGAGGATCCTCTCCTCTCTTAGCCCTGTTTTCTTGTTTGTTTTTTACCTTTCTCAGTGAATGAAGCAGCAAAGTCAGCTGTTGATGATGTGGGTGTGAAGGTGCGAGTTCGGGATCCTGCGTTTCCTGAGGCAGTGGGGCCGGTCTGACGGGGCTCACACTGTGGGTGCCTCGCCCTCCTCCCATCCCCTCTTCGCAGGACCAGGCAGCCTCTGGGTCCTTCCCGGTCACCTCCCATCTCCCATGACCCTCCGCGCTCTGACTCCAACCCTAGCCAGGAGGCCGTGGTGGGCATCACAGGGCTAGCCCAGCTTCGGGCACTGGATCTGAAGCCGGACGAACTTCTGCTAGTCACTGACGCAGTGTGCTTTTATTTCCTGTCTCTGATATTTAAAAAAAAAAATTTTTAATTCTTTGGTGAAAAAAAAAATTGTGGAGAGCTAAAAAGAAAATAAAAATTTTTGTCTTTCTTTTTCTATCCCACAACTTTCTGCAAAAGCATCACAGCCTGTAGCCTAGCAACCTGTATTGGAAAGTTTTCCATTAATTGAATTGCTGGCCAAAATTATGATTATAAAGAATCTACTATTAAGCAGAGATGTGTCTAAGAATAAATGCCTGGGTAGTTGGTGGATAATAGCCAGTTACACTAACAGACTGGGTGATCAATACGTTTCTGTATACGCATTGCCACGGCTGGAAACGGAAGGGCCTACCCCTGGGGAAATAAGAGCCAGCTACCCTTCTACAACAAGAAGTATGCCGGACCTCTGAGCTAAAGCTGAAACAAGTGAACTCCATGTCTATCTACCTCTCTTTAGGATTTTCTTAATGTTCCACATTCCATATCCACTGAAAGCTTCGAGATAAATTGAATTTTAAAGCAAATTTGAGCACAGTATTGTTAGTAAGAAGGAGAGTGCTTCCTTGACACAGCCTGTGTGCGACGGCCCCATGGCTCAGGCTTGGGACTGGCACTGAGCCACACTGACCAGGGCGTGTGTCCTGAAGTCACCCAGACAGCTGCGGAAAGAGGACGGATCGATACCTTCATCCTGAAGAAGGCGATGCTGGTGAGCAGGTCCACTGTGGACTTCAGGTCCTGCAGCCTCTCGCTGTTGCTGGCTGGGAAATTTTCCTGGTAAACAGAAAACAGAAAATGGGTAAAATTTCCAGTGGGAAATAAACTAAAGCTAGCTAGTAATGAAACAAAGGGGTGAGTAAGCACGTAACCTTTAAAAAAATCCCTAAAGTATTTTATGTAGAAAGTAAAAGATGTGGAAATATGTATGCTCTCCTTTGTCTTAGAAAGCAATTGATTCATCCTCACTATTTGATAAAAAGACACAAAACAATGTTACTGCGAGGGTATGATAATTCTTGCTCATATAATAGTCTCTCCGTGAAGGGAAAGGAGAGTAGCATGTTTGAAAACCTTCCTTGATTTCCTAAAGACAGGTGCTTTTACTTTCAAAAGTATTTTGAGCATCGTTCGTGCAATACATTTACTTTCAGTCACGAAGACACCTTTAAAAGAAAAAATATAACATTGCGCTGCATTGTCTTGTGAAGTACTGGGAATTTCAACAAAAATTTTCTTTTAGAGATTTGGTGAGAAGTGCCATTTAAAAATACAGATGTTCATAATTCTGCAGGAAAAGGAAGGTATAACTAAGAAATGTTTGAATGGAGGTGCAGTTCTTTTTTTTTTTTTTTTTTTTTTTTTGGTACTGGGAATCGAACTTGGGACTTCGCGCTTACCAAGCAGGCGCTTGTACCAAGAGGGGCAGTTCTAACACTGAAAAATTTCTCCTATTAGTTTTCTCTCAGCCTGGCTTTGTGAAGAGCCATTGGGAAAACACAAGTGACTTCCAGACGTCTCTAGGACAGGGACAGTGCTGGGTGCCCACGTGACAGGGAGCCCTGGGCTCACACCCCTTCATGCTCCCAAATATCCTTCCCAGTGCCTGGCATGGCGGCAATTTCCAGAAATATGCAATTAGGCATGTCATAAGAGAACAATTAAAAATAAATGCAAAGGGGTGCATGTGTAGTGTGCACACGAGAGCATGTATTTAGGGTAAACTGTTCAAGAGTGTAAGATGTCCATGAGCAGCTATAGTTATGACTGGACCATTTTTGTAATTAAAACTTGTAACTGAATTTTTTGTAACTAACCCACTTTGTAACTAAAGCGGCATGTGTGTGGGTGTGTTTGCACACACATTACACACAGATGAATACGTATTTGTATAGTGTATATGTTTCACCTGGTTTTGAAATAATAGAATTATGGGCAATGAACTCTGGACAGCTTATACTGATACAGGATGAGAGAATTAATGACGGTTATTTGAACAATTATCAAGGTAAAGCTGTGCACGCACAGGGAGTGTTGTTAAGACTGTTATAGTTTAACTGGGGAAAAGCACTGGACAGGAAAGGAAAGGGTAAGATCAGTCGTAGATTGGCAGGACCTCAAACTGTCATGTTTACAGTTCCTTTGCGCAGCTGTTAGATTTACACTACGTCAAGGGATCATATGAAGCAAGCACAATAGTTTACCTTCAGGGAAATGGCTCTGTACATACCCGATACTTTGACAGGTCAATCCTTAGAGAGTTATGCAACTGGTCCAGTAGCTTTATGAATTTTTCCCTCTGTACCAAGAAAATACAAAAAAGAATATAGAATTATGATGGAGACCACTACAAAGCGGCTCTGAGCAGGATTTAATAATAACCAATTGGTTTTCCATGTTTACGTGTGAGTTGTCCGAAGCTTAGGCACCTTGTCTGGAGGTGGGCAGTGGGACTCACGGTAGGTGAACCTTTATGAGTCACAGGTTTCTGCAGAGGCCTGTATTGGCCTGTGAAGCTGTGATGCCTCAAAGGACAGGATAAGGTCACAGCTGAGGACGTCTGGCTCCAACCCCAATTAACTACAAGGAGACCGCAGCCGCAGGCTCCACACTCCTACAATAAATACCAACCTAAAGACAAGGTAATTCCCCTGATTGACGTAATTTACTACTTGGGAAAATATTTCCCAAGGTCTTACTCAGATTCCTGCATTTTCTTGAGTATCTCCCTTCTTTGTTTGAAAAACAAATAAATACAGGCCACCTGGAGAAATCTTTGTCTTAACCCAGAGAATCTGAAATTCTGTAGGAGAGTTGGACACTGCTGGAGCCCTAAAATCATTTCAATTGTCTTATTTATTTAAGCCTTCACCGTCTACTCATTTGGGAGATTGTGGGCCTGGTTAACCCACAATAACTAAGGGTTTTAACCTGAGAGAATTAAATGGCTACTCTAAATTTAATCCTCACAATTATTTATACGAGTCATCGTTCCCACCTTAGAGAAAGACAGGATGGAAGATGTTAGCAACTTTAGCAAGATCATGGAACTACTCAGTTCTCTTTATACCAAATCCAACTCTTCCCAGTAAGTCATGCTGCGCCTATACAATGAAGGAGGAGGGTGAGCTTTTCTTACAGTGCTCTGCAGAGAGAGCCCCGAAGGATGAGTCCTCACTGCACACCTCCATCTGCACTGACTCAGAGGGGTGCAGCACCAGCAAGAGGAGAGAAGATACAGCACACCCCTCACCATGCTCAGGCACACCAGCCTCGCCCACCCAGGACACACACCGCAGATCCAGAGACTTCCCCACCTGTGAAGTGGGAACAGATGTTGCTTTGTATCAAACACAATCTGACAGAGCATTTTCCTTTTGGAGGCAAATATGAAGTTCATAATCTAAAAGGACTGACTGCTTTAAGGAGAAGCTTATGTGTTAGCATAAAAGAGTCTGAAAATCAAGCACCCCAGGTGGTGGCTGCTGCCCCTGGACGCCATGACAGGGTTAGGTAGTCCTCTTGATAGATGTGTTGGGGGTGGTAAGGGTAAGGAATTCTGCTAACAGGTGAATGTTGAAGCTGTATGAATTAAATACAAGCCAGGGAGAGACAGCCAAACCACACGTGCAGACACTCCGTTATTCTGAAATTTTCTTATCAAAATTTTTTTTAAAAGGGGTTATTGTGACCATTAATCTTGATTTGTCAACCTCACTGGATTAAGGCACGCCTAGCAGATTCCTAGCGTGCCTGGTTGTGTGCAGCTGGGCGAGTCCTGGAGGTGAGGTGCTGGGGTCGCGTGTGTCTTGGCCCCTTCCTCCGTGGCACGCTTCCCTGCTCTGCTTTCTGAAGGCCGCCAGGTGAGCAGCCCTGTTTCAGCACACACTTCCACCATGGTGTTCCCGCCTTGGAGCAGCTGATCATGGACTGAACCCCAAACTGCTAAATCCAACCTCTCCTACGTTAAGCTGTGGCTCTCAGATATTTTGTCCCAGTGATGGGACATTAACTGATACAGGAATAGGATTAATTGAAAAGGAAATTATGTATGCATGTATATACAGGATAGCTAACACAGCTGTACTACTGACTTCTATTGCTTTACTGAAAGGAAATGATTAATTATTTGATCAATCTTGCATGTCTCTATCTGTTTTCCTGAGAAGCCACTTTGAAGATATCAATACGCAACACAACAAGCATTGCTACTTTCCTACCACTTTCTCTGTAACTGTGTATTGCTTGTATTGTTCTCATGCTATTTTGTAAACGGATGTCTGCTTGTTAATATGTCTTCCTTCTTTCATTTTTAAAATAAATTAATAAAAGAGAAAGTGAAAGAAAAAGTTTCTGCCTACACCAAATTATACTTTGGAAGATATTGACAAAATAGAATAACTCCCTAATATTTTCACATAAGAGATGGATTTACAGGGTATATAATTGTCACCCCTTGAATTTACTCATCTTGATAGAGTGAGCTGAACATTATTACCAGGAGCTAAAGAATGTGTCCCTACTGGGCGGCGGACTTCTGTTTTATTAGGGCTTGCTGCATATCCTTTGTTATGTAGAGCTTTTGACCTTTCTCCTTTTGCACTCTGTGCTTCTCCCCTTTCTCATCCTCAACTCAGACAGGAAGATGGAGCCTATTCCAGGCAGATACAGGGAAAAAAACCATCAGGAAGAAATGCAGAGCCCTTCCCCGCCCCACCGCATCCAACCCACAACCATCCTGAATCCTCCCGACTGCAGTTCATGCAAGAGCCCTAGGTAACCAAGCGTGTTTATGTGTCCACTCGAGTTTTTTCTCCTGTAGCTGACACACATCTCACATCTGGGCCCTGCCCCAGTCTTCAGGGCTCAGCTGGGAAATTTTCATTCAAGGAAAATAGGAAATTGGAGGAACTGCTGAGCTTGGCAAAGATTCCAAACAATACAGATGATGCGAAATTAAAAGTGTGCTGCTGGTTGAATTTTCAGAGATTCTTTTGAACATCAGGGACAGCTGAGATGTAATCTTATTTCCCGCCTCTCTCTGTAACCAATGGGCTTCCCTGTACAGGGCAGGCGGCTGAGGTCTATGCAGTGAGGAGTGACAGGACAGCAGCTAGAACGTTCTCAGGACCATGTCCAGCACGGTGTGGCCCATCACGGCAGCTGAGGGGTCCGCTGGAAAGGAATGATCAGTCATGGCAATGGTAAGTATTATCACCTATCAAAAATTGAGGTCTAATTAGTTGATGAGGATACTGAGGCTGGGTCAGAAAACTGTCTAAAAGGAAAGGTAGCCGCTGGCATCACCAGCGGCCTCCCACCCACTCTGCTCTGACACTCGTAGGACAGCTGCTATAGGCAGCGCATAAACAGACAGGCACGACTGCTTTCCAAAGCAGCTTTATTTACAGACACTGGGATTCAAATTGTATGTAATTTTCATGCATCACAAAATAATAATCTTTTGGGTGTTTTCAACATTTAAAAATGTGCAGAGCATTCTCTGACGGGCCACACAAAATCAGCTGGTGAGCGGAGGCTGGGAGAGGCAGGCGCCGCCCCACCCGTGCAGGCTCGGAAGCCTGCCAGCCTCCTGGCACCTGTGGGCGCAGAGCCTCTGTGCACCCTGCTTGCCCCGCCCCTCCTTTCCCACCATGTTGCTCACTAAATGAGCCCCGGCCTCCCCCCGCCCAGCTAACCCTTGGAAAATGCAGCCCTCTATCTTTCTCTGCTCCTTCTACACGTCTCTTTTCTGAGTCTCTTGCCAGTTTTATAACACCTGGATATCCTGAAGGGGACCCCCCCCTCCTAATTCTGACGGGTGTCGGTTGGCAAACACAGATGACACAGCTCAGAGCGCACGAGCACACTCAGCCAAACTCACACGCAGCCGCAGACACCTCCCGTGCCGGCCTGCACCTCCTAACCACTGCGTCCCAGCTTGCCCAGCCCGAGACCCTCCTGCCTGCTCCTCAGCGGACCGAGTTCACCCTGAGCCCCAGCTCCCCTCCTCCACTGCAGTGTCTGGGGTCAGAGTTGCCCGTGCCTGCGGAGCTTGGGCAGTGGCCAAGAAATAAGGTACAAAATACCTGCTGCCAGCATTAAGAAAGGAAAGGTTTATTTCGTTCAGTTTGTGCAGATTTAGTCCATAATCAGCTGCTCCAAGGCAGGGTGGCCGGGCACAGGGGCAACGGTTCAAGGCCACAGAAGACAGAAAAAGCAACAAGAGCAAAACGGGGAAGAGCAAGCCTCTTTTCCTCCTCATACGGGAAACAGGCTACCTTCCCGACCCACCCAGGGCGGTGCAGCCCTCACACCATCTCCTGTCCTCCTCTGGCACAGGCTCAGGATGGTACAAACTGAGGAACCTGACTTCCTGCTGAGTCACTCAGTTAACCTTCTAAACATCTCAAGTGGACACAATGTCTCAACCATAACACAGATGTTTTCCCAAATCTGAGCAAAGTCCCTAAATGCACGTGGCACTCCCAATGAGTGGTGAAGATGAGACAAACTTAGCTAAAGTAGCAACAAAAGTGTTTGCTCCACTCTGTTAGGGTATCTTCCTTTTCTTTCTATACGAATATTTCAGAATTTTTGTCAGATGAAGCCGCATCCAGGAAGCGCCAGGGCGGACACTCACCGTGGAGAGGTGTCAGGCAGTGCGAGGAAACCGCGGCTGGTTCCTGAGTTCTGCAATACCGCCGATGCTCGTCGTGAACAGTAATTTTATACCCAACTCTCCGCTGAAAACTCTGCGTCCCTACTTAAGGGCCTGGTCTCCAGCTGTGCACGTGCAGCGGCCGGACTCTGCCTCTCCGTCCCCACCCCCGCCGCCGGCCGCCGGCCAGGCGGAGAACCAGTCTCTGCCCGTGTGTGCAGCCTGGGCCTCCGACCTGGGTCCCTGCCTGGCGCTCGGCAGCTCGGCTGCGCTGCCCGGAGCAGCTCCTCGGCCGCCCGCGGGCGCCCGGGCCTGAGCGCTGGGCAGGTCACCTCTCCCCTGCGCCCCGCAGCCTCCGCGGCCCCGGGCCGCTTTGTGCTGCCCAGCCCCGAGCATCGGGAGCGGATGCGGGGGCCACCACCTGCCTGCCGGCCTCGTCCTGCTGCCAGCCACGCCCGGGACACTGGCGATCCTCTCGCGGCTCTGCGGGCCTCGAAAGGCCGTGCATGGGCAGCGGAGCCGCCTGCAGACCCCCGCCCTCCCGACCCGCCCTGCAGGTCAGCTTCAGGGGGCCCGGGGTGTTTACCCAGGGGGCCTCCCGCAGCCCTCAGCGGTGCTGTAAAATCTGCTCTCGGGGT